AAGTGTAGGCTTTATTGAAAAATAAACTCCGCTTGGTGGGCTTGACCAAGTAGAGCGTGAGATCGTGAAAATCTGTCACGTTGCCATTGAAGGGCTTCCAGATATCAAACTGAGTGAATACCGGTATCTCGGCGATCTTGTTAAACGCAGATGTGTAAGCTTTTCTTACATCTATCTCCGTAGTCACTTCTGGGGTATAACAGTATTTGTCGTCTTTGTCTGTCTTAGGGTTATAGAAATAATAATGTTTATTTATTTCACCTGTTGGGGGTATGGTGCGACACTCCTTGAAAATCTCTACGTCTACTTCGTTGTAATATGACTTGTGGGTCGGCTTGAAGAGAGCGGTATTAAAGTTAAACATTGCTTTAGACATCTTGTTGTAGATCTGCTCCGTTCTCACGCAGATGGAACCGTCTATAGAATTATTCACTAAGTTCTGGGTCTTAACCTTGTATTTAATCTCTTTGTGGCTCTTGCTGTTTATCTTGATCTTAAACTTGAAGTTAAGTTCGGACACGCACCCCGCGCTAAACCTAACCTGTGGCTCATACCCCGCCTGTTTGCCAAGATAAAAGAGATGAGACAGATCGTAGCCATTGTATACCAATGTGTATTCACTGTGTTCTGTGTATTTACGTATGTCGTCTAGGGATGTGATCATTTTGCACTCCACTGGCTCCTCCTTCTCGTTAAGGTGATAATCTGAAGATGCCTTAACAGATATACTATAATTACTGCTTTTGGGTATCATCTGCCTCAACATATTCGTATTATCACTGACTGTGTAGATATGACTGTTCTTCACTATAGCGTATAAGGCTGGGATATTATGATTTCTTTTTATTGGGTCACGCTTATAAATCAGAGTATCAAAGACATCATAAATTCTGACTTGCAAGTTAAAATGTTCAAACACCTTCGCCATATCTGTTATTGATGCCCCTTTTGTTTTAAAATCTTCTTCCGTCTTATTTATGATCTTTAGGATGACTTCTTTTGTTAGTTTGTTCTTCTCTCTCTTCTTGTCTCCCATAAGGGTATCCTTATAATAATCCGTCAAGGTGTTAAACCAGCACTCGTTCTTAACATAATGCTCTACTTTAATGGCTTCCTTAAAGGCCTCATACTGTGGATCTAAGGGTGTCTGAATATATCTGTGATACATACTGACATTCTCTGTGTTTGTTAGTTCTTCGTCTTGTGGCTTGAAAGCATCGGCGTTATCTACCCTTTCGGCGTAATTAACTTTAATACAAGCAATGTAACCTTCGGCATAACCGACATCTGCTTTAAAACTGTCATCTGTCATTAATAACATCTTGAGCCTATGAAATGTTTTTGTGTCGGCCTTCTCGTCTCTAAATATTCGTCTCCTCGTTAAGTTTTCAACCCACGGTGTTGTGGCTACATTGGCTGATAGATCACGCATATAAATAGGAACGTATGCCCTACCCCTACTGTCTCTGAAAGATACTGATAAGCCTTGGTGTGATTCTGTCTTCAGTTGGTATAAATGGACATTGATTGAATATTTTCTTGGTTTCCTCGGGTTGGTTCTTCCCGTTCGCTTGTTGTCTTCTTTTGCTTGTGCCATTCTCTGACCTAGTTGTTCTTTATCCTTGTGCTTGTCGTATAGTTTATTATATTCGTTTTCCGCTTTAGTTTTTTCTTTGTCTGTTTTTGCGGTGGTGAGTTTGCTAATTAAATTGTCTGCTGTGGTGAATTGGGCGATCTTACGATCTGAATATAAATTAATTATATTTTGAACCTTTGTTCTGGTGGCTTGGGTGATGCGGTTTCTTCTGTTGTTATAAAATGTTTGTAGTGCTTCTGTATTACGCTTAACGGCTTTGGACATATACTAATATAATTAAACTATATATTTATTTTCCCTTTAAATGGATTTTTCTGAAGATTGTTTTAAAGAAAATTTATCTAAAGAAAAAAATAATATATATAGTATAGTAATATGAGCAAGAAGCCCGAGGATATGACAATAGAAGAAATCAAGGAACAACTCGCTATATACAACAGGCTGTATTATCACAAGCGCAACAAGGACGAGGCATACATGCAAAAGAAACGGGAATCTGCACAAAGACACAACCAGAAAAAGAAGATCAAGGAGTATGAACAAGCTAACAATATCACACTGAAGCCCGAGGAGATTAACGATGAATTGCTATCAGAAATATTGAATGCAAAGAAGCCGATGAAGCCCAAGCACGGTTCGGTAAAATATGACATGAAGAACTGCAAGATCATAATGCCGATGTCCGAATGATGATTTAATTTAGTTATTAAATCATTATTTTCTTTTGTTTTTATATGAGTGAGAAACAAAAAACTATTAATGATGTGTATTTTGATCGCGCGGGGTTTGGCTCAAAAAGCCGGACTTTAGAAGAAGCGCGGGAGAAAGACAAAACCATCACACTGTCTGATATTAACGAGTTTTTTAGGAAGAATGTTGATCAAAAGCGAAAGCCCGTCGGTTCAAACAGCTTTGTCGCCCCCCATTCAGCATATGAGTATCAGATGGACTTATTTTTTATAAATGATTTGGAAGATCAAAAATTTAGAGTAGGAATGTTAATGATTGATATTTTTGATAAGTTTATGCATGTCGTGGCAATTAAAGGTAAGAAGGAAGAAGATTTAGCGAGTGGGATGATTGAGTGCTTACATAAAATGGGAAAGAAGCCAAAAATAATTTACACCGACGACGAGGGAGCAATGAACAAGGAGGCAATACAAAAGTATTTACAGGAACAGAACATAGAACATCACAGGACTAGGGCGCATCCAAATTTTAGCGAGAGAGCTATTAGGACGTTCAAAGATTTATTATATCGTCGTGTTGAAGCCGATCAGAAAAAGGGTAAGAACAATATTCAGTGGACTGATTACATTTTTGAAATATTATTAACATATAATAATAAAATGAAACATTCCGCTACTGGTTTCACCCCAAAGGATGCCAGAAAACCGAGCAACGAATTAAAAGTTAAACTGCATTTAAATATGAATGCTAAACGAAATCGGGTATATCCTGAATTAAGTGTTGATGATGAAGTTAATATATTTAGGAAGAGGAAACCCAATGAAAAAGAACGTGTATCAAATTGGTCGCAACATGTTTATACCATAGAAAGAATTGATGAAAAATTGGGTCAAAAATATTATTATGTTGAAGGACATGATAGAGCGTATTTGCGCTTTGAGTTGTTAAAAGTTTAATTTTCTTTTGATAAAACATTTTCTTAAGAAAAACACCTAAAGAAATAACACCTATATAGATTAACAGGGACATGTTCAAGTTTGAAAATTGTTGGAAGTGCGAAGAAATGAACAAAGTAGGAGTATTAACTAGCAAGTTACCGATTGATATATGTAATTGTGTATGTGAATATGACAAGTGCTATAAGTGTAGAAATAAGATTGAAGATATTGAAGATTTTGATGAAAACCCCAAACTTTCAAAGTTAAACAAAGTGCAAAAAATAATCATACACTTGCTATATCGTAATCACAACATTGATACAATCATGGATAGGCGAAAATACAAAAACATCATCAAAAGATCAAATAACCCACTGCGAAAGATAATGAAGCAGTTTATGAACATCAGCAACCATTCAGACCGCGAACGTCTTATGTTTCACGGTGTATGTCACGTGATGCTATTGTATTGTGTCTTTCGCAATTTAACCGATATACAAGAGCTTAAAAAGGAAATCGCATATTACAAGCTTAAAACCGCTACTATAAGATTTAACGGCTTTGCAATTAGTAAGGAAGTTATAGTAAAGCAAATAATACGCGAATGTTTTGATTTTTGGCTGGTCGGTTGGAGGGGTCATTATAACACCACAACCGAAGAAATTATGGAGTATGTAGAGAATGTGTTTTCGTTGGCATAAAGCAATTATAACATTATTAATAATATAATGTTATAAGTTATTGTTGGTGACCATCCTAAACCCCAAAAATGCACTACACCCTAGGTGTCAAACTTGATTTTGGTGTTTTTTTTGTTTTCTGCTTGTTTGTGTATGGTGTTTTCCAATGCTTTTGTTGCGTTTTTGGCGTTTTTATCGTTTTTATCGTTTTGAAGCATCCTAAACCCTAAAATTTCACTACACCCTAGTTGTCAAACTTGATTTTGGTGTTTTTTTGTTTTCTGCTTGTTTGTGTATGGTTTTTCCAATGTTTTTGTTGTGATATTTGTGTTTTTATCGTTTTAAAACCGTTATGTTTCAAAATTTGGGGCTTATTTTTGTTGTATTTTTGCTTTTTATTGTTTTATTTTTTGAAAGTATTTTTTATATATTAACCAAGGCACTGGCAGAGGTAGAGGTGGAACTGGTCGTAGCGCTCGGTGTTGTAGTGACCGAGGATGCGTGTAGCTCCTCGCGCAGGGGGGAGTGGGAGTAGGTGGGTTTGGGGTTGGGGTAGGTGGCCAAGGCACACGGAAAGACGCTTCGGATGTTTTTTTCACAAGCTCCGGACGCTTATGTTTGGCCTACCTACGTGGACTGGTGAGGGATGAGCCTCCTGTTCGCCACGACGAAGCTTTTACTAAACTCCCTGCTCTTGCAGGGAAAATCCCCAGAATTTCGCGGGATCGGTCCCTTGAATTTCGGGGGGAGTGTCCCCTAGAATTTTGGGGGAGTGTCCCCTAGAATTTTGGGGGAGTGTCCCCTAGAATTTTGGGGGAGTGTCCCCTAGAATTTTGGGGGAGTGTCCCCTAGAATTTTGGGGGAGAGTCCCCCACAATTTTCGGAGACTGTCGGGGAGGGCCGCCAAGAAACGCATGTTTTGTGTCGTGTGCTTTATGCAGCTACGACTGCAAATCATCTCTGCACCTAATCAGCCTACATCCTACACGTAATAATTTGTCGAGCCCAACTCAAACGCGGAATATGACTCTGAGACATTTTGCAATCTCAGCGAGCCTGTCGGCAAGGGTCTGTGATGGGAGCACGAATCCCAGCTTAGCTGATTCGGCTTGGGGTGCTTGCATCTGACAGTGATGAAGCACTGGTTCCTTCCTCGGCAACATTGCCAGAAGAATTCTCTGACCGTGGCTCCGGGCAGCTTCGCAACAACAAGAACTGCTCATGTTTGGCCTTGTGGATAAGCCTCTTCGAGACCTCATCTCTTGGGTAAGGCATCCTCTCCATCCATGTCAAAACAGAGCGCACGATCTCGTGAGTGCCTTCAATGGTCACCACGGTCACATCCTTTCTTCGCTGCAGGGTTCCACCCAAGGTGCCAGGCGAATATGTTCGCATGTGGTCAGACAAGCGCGACTTGATGCCAACATCAGTGGACCTGTTGGGGTGATGGTTGATTAAGAAAGTAGCGTCAAAGCAAATGTGCAACTGCGAAACAGACTAGTGTCTCCCTTCGACCCGGTAGCATCACGGGACCTGTATGTGATTCTGCACCAGATCCACTGCCATGGTTGCACCTGCCCCAAGGCCTCCTCGCAAAGGGACAATCGCTCCACTGCTGCGGCTGGCGCAACTCTTGGATGAGTGGCCACACCTGTGAGGGCAAACAGTGCAGCCACACTTAGGTGTCCAACTACACGGTAGGGGGGTGAGCCCTGACAAGGAATCGTTACAAAAAACAGCCTACCTGCCGCAACTGACGTCTCCCCAGCGACCAGCACAGCGGTCCGAGGATCTGTGCCAACGCCTTGAATGACGAGCTGGGAGATCTTGGAGTCCACTTGCAATTCCTCAACAAAGGCACAAGCGATAAAAAATGATAAAAAACAATGTTCATGACACCGAAACTCGGTAGCTGCTGGGGTGACAAACAACGTCATGAGTCAAATCATGAGTTGCTATCCTGCGTTGCTACTGACTACTGTCATGTGACTCGCGCCTCTCCAGAAGCTTTTCTGATGATGATCTGGCCGGGATCCATGTTTTTCAGGCTGGGACTCTTGGAGATGAATTTCTCCTTGACGGTGGCTACAATGTCATTCTCCTCGAACGTGATGTAGTGGGCTTGTTGCTGGTCGATCTTGTACCACCACATCTGACTGGAGCTCATCGACATCGCTGTGGGAATCAACGGTCTGTCTACTGTCATTTTTCTGTTTTAGTCACAACTCCATGATGAAGAAGATGCCAAACCAAAGCCAGTGTAAAGGATGCAGCACGTCTGAAGCTGGGGCCTAAATGCGGCATAATGACGTGCTTGGAAAACCCCTTGCAGGAAGCTCACTATCCTTACCAAGCACATTGCAAAACGAAATCAGTCCTCTTGAAGTGTGGACCTTGTGGTCGTCGTCGTTGTGGCCCAGGGCGGAGTTTAGGGATTCTAACTAACATGATTGCGAATCCGAGAAGACTAAGCGAATGCTTAACCTTAACCCTAAACCCTGAACCAAATTCTACGAGGAACCCCTTGCCTATTTTGGCTAATAATGCCACCTTAGGGATAATAGATGGGATAATGGTTATTCCTAGAATTGTGTTGATAATGGGGTAGTAGTAGTGATATATCGGTGAAGTTTAGGGGGGAGTGTAGGAATGATCATCTAATGGGGAAGTAGTAGTGATATATCGGTGAAATGTAGGGGGGAGTATAGGAATGATCATCTAATGGGTTGGCGGTGGCATTATTAGCCTAAATAGGCAAGGTATACTCTAACTCTTTGTTGGTGGGTTGTGGCTGTTACGATGTTTGCAGGCGGGCAATACTTGCTCTGCAACCCGCATTCTATGTAACCGAAGTTCCGTAGCCGCAGCCCAGTAGCACCCTTTGGCAAGGCGAATGAGGTAGACTCAGAAGAGCTCCCTTGCCTGCGGGGACGATGCTCACGTGGGCCACGGTCCTGAAACCGAGGACACCTTGCCCAGGGCTGCGCTATGCTGCACTCACGCCGGGACCATGCCCCCCCTACCTGTTCTTTTACGTGAAGTGGAGCCTACAAGTGCCCAGCAAGCCCCTGAAACCCACGACGCTCCCTCTCAAAAACCACAGGTCTCCGAAGCTCAGGGGCTCAGGCCCGTTGATAGACCCAGGCTCAATGTCTGAGTCGTTGTCGCCGGATCCCCATCCACTTGAACTCAGACGAAAGCTGCAGGGGCCTTGCTCGCCGAGAGACACCCGCATGACCTGCGGGCTGCTAGAAGATGTTCGAGTGAAGCGCTTCATTTGGGTTCAGGGGTCCTAAGGGGAAAGTCTGTTTTCGGCTCCTGAGGCACGTCGCACGAAAGCCGTGCTTCATGAATGTGGAGTCTGGTGGGCGTGCGAAGTTCATCTGGGCTTCTGGCCACGTCAGGTTGCACAACGCAACATCCATGGGGCACCCAATATAGCGGAACTATCGGGATGGTACGACATGGTGGGGCGGCCTCGGGTGCTTTGGAAGAAGAACGCAGCTCGGAGTCCGGATTTGAAGATGCTTGGGGCCCTCGCAACTTCCCATGAACCCACGGAAGCTCTCAAAAAAACGGGCCTCGTTGACCACGGCATGGCCCGCCTGCGAGAAAAGGAAGCCAAAGGGTGCCAGGCTCATCCTCTTTCCGCTTTGGGCTTCTTACCCGGATGGGCTCTTTAGGCCCGATAATCCCCATACTCAACCCTAAAAAAGGGGGCCGTTTCACGCGGGGGGCCTCGTGGAACGCCGTGAGGTTCATCTCCGCGGAGGACTGATGCCGCCTCGGAGCACACCCGCTTCGAGGCTGCTTTAAGGCTCAGATGCTCATGTGGGGGGGGGCTTCCGAAAATCAGGGGTACCCTTTTGGGGTGTTCCTTTAATAAGGACTTTAGAATTGGGGGGGGGGTATATTATAATTATTAAGGGTGCCCCCTAATTTGGGAAATGCTCATGTCTTCCCTGTTGTCTACCGACGTCGGCGCAATCTCATCGTTAAATCCGTTCATGCATAGCACGAATCCTTCGAGACCTTACTGTAGCATCTCGCAAGGTACTCCGTGAACCCTCGGAACCGAACGTCTTTGAGACGAAACCCTGAACCCCAAACCCCAAACCCTAAACCCTAAACCCTAAACCCTAAACCCGAAGTTGGTAATTTCTTGGGCTGCGGACCCGGAGGGGAGGCCGATGAGCAGCTTGCTGTAGGCCACCTCACGGGGCTCTCTGCTTTCAGGGGGCTCTTCTGGAAGCGTCGCGGCTTGAACCTTGAGTCCTCAGGGTTTCTAGGGTTTCTAGGGTTTCTAGGGTTTCTAGGGTTTCTAGGGTTTCTAGGGTTTCTAGGGTTTCTAGGGTTTCTAGGGTTTCTAGGGTTTCTAGGGTTTCTAGGGTTTCTAGGGTTTCTAGGGGGTTTCTAGGGTTTCTAGGGTTTCTAGGGTTTCTAGGGTTTCTAGGGTTTCTAGGGTTTCTAGGGTTTCTAGGGTTTCTAGGGTTTCTAGGGTTTCTGGGGTTTCTGGGGTTTCTGGGGTTTCTAGGGTTTAGGGTTTCTAGGGTTTCCAGGGTTTTTAGGGTTTCGAGGGTCTAGGGTTTCTAGGGTCTAGGGTTTCTAGGGTTTAGGGTTTAGGGTTAAGGGTTTAGGGTTTAGGGTTTCGGGTGTTTCCTGGGTATTGTTGCTGATATTTTGCTGTTCTTACTGTTCTTGATACTACAATACTGCTGCTCTTCTGATTCGAGATTCTAGCATCGTAGGTATGAATAATCTTGTTGGTAGAATTCTTGAAGCTTCTTTTCGTCTTCGTCGTGCCAAGACCATTGGCAGGAGTCGCTGTATTTACGCAGAGTACGTACTCTGCGAGTACTCGGAAGCAGCTATGCTCTGAGAGCCCGCACCACCATGAAAAGCCCATCTAGGCGTAAGGTTTGGGGGTTTCGGGTTCAGGGTGCTGCTCTTGTCTCCAAGAAAAACACTTACCCCAACCCTTGGCTTGAAGATCCATAGGGTTCAGCTCAACCTCGAAACTCCAAACTCCATAAAACCTGTAAACCCGATAAACTTCATAAGCCCGAACCTGAACAATCCTACGCCACAAAGCCCCTCGGCCGCTTCGCTCGGAAATTCACTGCGCCTGCAGGTGTCTCTCCCCTACGCCGGCTGCACCTGCAACCAAGGACACCCATAAGCCGATGCTGCGCCAAGAATGGGAGTAGGAATGATACGAATGATGCGAATGAATGCGGAGGATGTAAGGAATGCTAACTGTACCACAAGGAAATTTGACGGGTGAAGGCCATTTCTGAACCATAGCCGCTCCCCCCTTCCCGGATGAAGTACAGGGTGAGGGAAGGGGGTTCAGAAAAAGGTATGTAACACAAGATTCCCTAAGACTCCCCCGGTCCTCCCTAAGGCTCCCTTAGGGTTCCCGAGGTGCCTACCCCCCTGGAAACCCCTTAAGAACCCTATACTTAGAGTCATCCCTTGGCGAGGACACCCTGAAAAAAGAGAGCCTTCGCGGGCTGCGGCCATGGCCGCCTGAAAGAGCTGCGTGCGGGCACAGGTCTCCATGGTAAGGGCCCCTCAAGGGGGTTTAGGGTTTAGGGTTTAGGGTTTAGGGTTTAGGGTTTAGGGTTTAGGGTTTAGGGTTTAGGGTTTAGGGTTTAGGGTTTAGGGTTTAGGGTTTAGGGTTTAGGTTTAAACTGCGGCACCCCTGATATAGTGGCCTCTTGAACGGGCACGGGTATATGTTGGGCAGTATGTTTTGCAACGATATTTTAGGCTTGTAAGGGGATGATTTTGCTAGCTACATAGCCTCCATTTCACCCGATGACCCTCAGAACCTTATATCACCCTGCAATACCCTGCACTACCTGATGGTTACAGGTTTTTCTTGTAGACTTTCCCTCCCCTCAGCACTGCAGGTCTGGCCCTCTACCCTAAATCCTCAACCCTAAACCCTAAACCCTAAACCCTAAACCTAGGACTCACACCATGAAGTACTGGCAACCTTAAGCTGGCCCCAAAAAAGGCTCGGTCTGGAGGTCTCGGAGGCATCAAAAAAATTCAGGGGAAACCTTCAGGGCGCTTTAAAGGGGCTTTAGGTTTAGGGTTTAGGGTTTAGGGTTTAGGGTTTAGGGTTTAGGGTTTAGGGTTTAGGGTTTAGGGTTTAGGGTTTCGGGTTTCGGGTTTCGGGTTTCGGGCCTTTAAGGGGTCCCCACACCACCAAAGGTGGCGCCTCGTTGACCAGGCCAGCCAAGTCGGCTCCCGAGAAGCCCGAGGTGCGCTTGGCCCAGGCCATCCAATCCTTGCTCTCTTGGCTCTGAGGTTGAAGGCTTTGGGTTTAGGGGGTTTGGGGGGTTTAGGGGGTTTAGGGGGTTTAGGGGGTTTAGGGGGTTTAGGGGGTTTAGGGGTTTGGGGGGTTTAGGGGGTTTAGGGGGTTTAGGGGGTTTAGGGGCTTTCTTGTTTTTTGCGGCTGCCGCGCTACAAGCTGAACGGGCAACGTCGCGCATGGGCACGACGGGCACAGTGGAGGAAGGTGTGGTATGAAGCACAAGATGCATGGGAAAAAGGGGGAGAGAATCTACAGGCCGCCCAGAGACCGCAACACAATTCGGATGACAGAACGATGGGAGTTCTTTAGGGTTTCAACATGCTGGACGAATGCTTGGGATCTGGTTCTGTCACCTTTTCTTATCCGAAAAGGGCGCAGCCCCTCTGAAGCCCAGAGAAAGGCACAGCCGGCCTCACCCCCCAACAGCACCCCAAATGTCCCCAAAAGGATAACCTACTCGCATCCTGAAACTTAGGCTCTGGCGGGGGAGGACGATGACACGTCGGCTCCAGCTGGAGACAGGGAGTTGAGGGTTTTCAGGGTTCAGCACTTGGACTTCACAAGTGGAAGCCTTCAAACGGGAATCACGCACAAGGCGACACCACGAGCGCTGGGATGAGGGGGGCCTGAAAGGTTGGGGGAAGTCGAGGGCAGCAGAGTCAAAAGAGAAACGGAAGTTCAGCCTTCGTAGCTCCCTACCTTCACACCGTAGTCTTGAAAACTGGCCACCCTCCGAACGTTGCTGCTGTGGACAACTCACCACACAACCGGGGCGTGCGCTCATGCTTAGGAAGGCGCCTAAAAACCACTGCGAACGCGGCCCGCATGATGGAGTTGCTTTGGGGAATGCGGGCCCCGGGGGTTCAGATCGGGCGTTTCGGGTCACCAAAAAACTCGGAAGTCGAGGAAACGTGTCTCAGCGCCCGGCTTAGGGTCTGCGACCCAGGCCTCTCGAGCACCAGCCGCTTGGCATGCTTCCTGGAGCTCTGTCTCTACTGGGCTCTATACAAGGTAGTCTAAAACCTAACATCCTACAGAATTCTTTAAGTGGGGTGCCAGGGGTAAAGACTCGAAGAACAGCGTGGGTGTTGATCTGAACTAGTTGTTCGGGGGGTCTCCAGATTGCAGTTTCTTGCTTGTGCGAGGTCCCAAAGTCTTCGGGTACCCCTAGACAAAGAGGGCCCATTGATGAATATGTTTGGGGTTTGGGGGTTTAGGTCCAGAGGGTTCAAAGGTATGAAGGAGCTTCTCGACCTGGGTCCATAGGATTTAGGCTTAAGCCAAAAAGCGTTAAACCCCTAACTTCCTCAAACCTAAACCCTTAAGCCTTGAACCCTTAACCCGAAATCCTAAACGCTAAACTTCCTCGGGCATCTGTTGGACAAACGCAACCGGCCTCAGGATCTGGAAACGACCCATGACGTCCGGCAGGGGCACAGTGACCTTCCGGTCGAACCTGCTGAAGAGCATGGGTTTAGGGTTTTGGGTTTTGGGTTTAAGGTTTAAGGTTTAAGGTTTAGGATTTCGGGTTTAGGGCGGGGTTCAAGTGCTTAAGGCTTTGGGAGGGTGGAGTTCAGGGCTTACGGGGCCCTCTGCGGTTTGCCCCGCTCCCAATCCTGAACCGATCTCCCCGAGCCACGAAACCCTTCCAAAGCATGTGTTCATCGCCGCAAAACAAGTTGGAAACCCAAGGAAGGGGCCACCCCTAAACCCTAAACCCTAAACCCCAAACCCCAAACCCCAAACCCCAAACCGAAACCCTAAACCCGAAACCCGAAACAAACTCCTGCAATCTTCAACCGGCCTGCCGGGACGGGTCAGCGCCTTCCGAAAGCTGGGGAACTCGCCGGGGGGGTGCCTATATGACCTGCATCACCCCTTAAAGGGGTATACAGTATATGTTAAAGCTTTTTGTAGAGTACGCTACTCAAGTCACATTCTTTGCAGACTTGTAGGTGCAGGATGGGTGCTGAGCCCCTTGCACCTAGCAAGGAGGCTTGAGGGTCTCGGGCCTTAACACTTCCTCGCTTAGGTCTGAGGAAGGCTCAGGGGCTCAAGGTTGAGGTTGGGAAGCTCCCCCTTACCCTAACAGTCCTTAATAGGGGATTCTGGTACCCCCCTATTCTAATCCCATGAAGGACTCTTAGTATAAAGGGTGAACATCCCAAGGTTCAGGTTCAGGGGGGTTACGTTGAGGCCTTCGGGCTTGGCAGGGGCTTGGGGTGCGGGAGAACCTTGTCCAGGATGTCCGGCCGGTTCGTCGTGCCGATGACCACCACGCCCTCCGCCGAGTTGAACCTGTTGGTCATGCATGTTTTTTGTTTCGACCATTTGGGAGGGACATTGTCATGTACACATACACATACATACATATATAGACATACAACATATGTGTGTGTGCTTTTACTGGAGGGGGGAGAGGGATGAAGGAAGACACAAAGGTTGGAGGAAGACACAAAGGTTTGTAGAAGATACAATGGCCACGAAACTGGATCTTTCTCTTCAGCTTTCCATCATGCAATCCTGCAGGGGACCAAACCCCCCCCAAAAATTCCCGCGAATAAGTCCACCTGCTCTTATTAAGGTGGCCAGTATCTTTCTTGACACCCCACCCCTGATCTTGGGGCCGGTTCTGACGAAATCATGGAGATCTACTGTAGATGCGAATAGCGGCTCCCTAGGCAAGGCAACTGCGCCAGATAACTGGGGACCCTGACCCGTCCATCTCGGACAGCAGCTGTGTGAGGGCCTTTCGAGCGCTTGACAAAGGGCTTCGATACTGTGTATCATGTCTTGATACTCACCTCACTTCAAAGGGTGAAGGCTTGGGATGTTCCCCCTTCTACTAACAGTCCTTCATCGGGATTCTAGTACCCCCTACTATCATCCCTACTAAGGACTGTTAGTATCATGGGAGAACATCCTAATATATAAGGCCCGAAAAGCAGCTCAAGGAAGCTGGGGGTCTCCGAAAATCGACCCCAATAGAGACCCCAATAATAAGAGGATCCCCTCTTCATAAGGACCCCAAAAGGGCACCCCCCTCATGTCGTAAACCCTGAGCTGAGTTCAGGCATGAAGGGGCCCATCTTCCCTTACAAGGCTCCCAAATCACGGCCCCCCCCGTTGCTTTTTTTGGGGGGGAGGGAATCCCTACTGCGACATGGATCCATAAGCCAAAGGTGCCCAGAAAAAAGGGAGGGCCATGAGTTCAAGAGCTGAGGCTTTGGCCGCCGAGCGATCGGTCTCCAAGCCTCCGCCTCGCTCCTCACGGGATCTGAAACTACCTCCCTACAAGGGAAGAGGTGCCGCACATCCTACTTGATCCATTTAAAGGATCCTAAATCCTAAACCCCAAACCCTAAACCCTAAACCCCAAACCCGAAACCCCAAACCCTAAACTATGGGGGTGCCTGGCCCCGACTAAGGTGAAAAAACCCCGAACCGGTACCGTACGATTTGTAAATAACTCCACAGGATCCATAGGGCCTCGTTCAGGGTTTAAGGTTTAGGGTTTAGGGTTTCCTTGAGTGGATTTAAACTCAGTTCCCTGCAATCCTGAACGTGGAGCTTCTTAGGGGGTGTTTATGGTTCCTGGTGATGCACTCCCAGGCCCCCCAAAACGACTCTGGCTTCCGAAGCAGAAGCGGTCTGAGAGAAACATGGCCTCCGAAGCCACAAGCAAGCCTCGGAACTCAGCCGCCCTAAACCCTAAACCCTAAACCCTAAACCCTAAACCCTAAACCCTAAACCCTAAACCGCTGATGCCATGGGGGTCCTCGCCGCGGCGGCGGCCGATGTAGTCGAGCCTGGGACTTACGCACTTCACGCGTTTCAGGACGTTTAAGGTCTAAGGGCTGGAAGGGTTGAGGTTGAGGCGAGTACTGGGATGTGAGAACCCTAGGCGCCTTTAAGTCTAGAAATCTGAGATAGGGTGTCGGCCTTGGGATTCGGGCAAAGTTTAAAGGGTTAGGGTTTAGGGTTGAGGGTTGAGGGTTGAGGGTTGAGGGTTGAGGGTTTAGGGCTTAGGGTTTAGGGTTTAGGGTTTAGGGTTTAGGGTTTAGGGTCCCTGAACGCCGCACATCTTGGGGCCCAGCTCGTCGATCAGGATGACGGCGGGGGACATGCGGCGGGCCATCGCAAACAGCTCCTGTCCGCGCTCTTGATTTTTCTAAGTACCTGGTAACATCCTGAACCCCCCGAAATCCCCCAAGTCCCCCAATTTCCAGCGACCAAGAGCCCAAACGACCGCGTGGACCACCCAGCATGGGAGGGGGGGCAAGGGGGGTTAGCCTTGACCAGGTTCGTCCCAGTGCCTGCAAAGCGGCCGTTGAAGTCTGCACCTTCCCGCAAGTCGAGAATTGAAAAGGGACGAAATAGGGCGGCAGCCAGGAAGCACGACCCCGAACCAGTTGAAACTTGGGATGTTCCCCCTTAGACTAAGAGTCCTTCATAGGGATTACAGTACCCCCTCCTAGAATCCCTATTCAGGACTCTTGGTATACGGGGGAACATCCCCAACCCTAAGCCCTAAACCCTAAACCCTAAACCCTTCAAAAGCTGAAAGTCCAGGGCCACACCTGAGCGTGACAAAAAGGGCACGGCCGCAGTGGAGGCTATGGCTTTAGCCAATAGCCTGGCACAGGTTTGGCCAAAGCACGGAGGGTTCAGGAATTTAGGGTTTAGGGTTTAGGGTTTTAAGGCTTTGGGGCCTTTTAAGGTTTTTAAGGTTTTACTAGGGTTTAGGGTTTCTGGGGCTTTCGGGCTCCAACCTTGCACCCTGCAAAGTGCTCTCAAGGCTCGCGAAGCCGCGAAGAACTCCCCCGGTGCACAGGCCGGCGCGGCGTCTTCCCGCATCCGGGGGGGCCGGTCAGAAGCAACCCCTTGGGGCACTTGGCGCCCAGGCTCGCAAACCTGACCCAAAGCACGCGTCAGAATTCCCACAATGGTCAGAAGCACCCCCTAAGTTTCTTGCCGCCTGCTTGAGGTCGTAGATTTCTTTTTTGGGGGGGTATGCAGTACCTCCCCGAATCCCCCACTTAAGAGGCTCCGGCCTCGCAGGTGCCATCAGGCATTCCACGATCTCCAGGGCCTCGGCCTTGGCTGTGCCGATGCCCGCCACGTCCTGCAGACGGCTGAAATGTTGAGGGGATGTTGGGCGGTTGAGAGGGGTTGAGAGGGGTTGAGAGGGATTGAGAGGGGCTTTTGAGGGGTTGAGAGGGGTTGAGAGGGGACGGCGCTTTCCCTCCGCCGGCAAACACCAAAAATTTCTCCGCTCCGCCACGCCGCCTCCAGGGCCACATCCGGAACCCGCATCTCGCTGCGGGCATCCTTCACCTTGGTGCAGGTTCGAGGGGTTTAGGGTTTAGTGTTTGGGTTCGCCCACCAGCCAGGTGTCCTGGCTCTGCCTACGGCCCCTAAACCAACACTATATGAGAGAGAGGGTTTAGGGTTTAGGGTTTAGGGTTTAGTGTTTAGGGTTTAGTGTTTGGGTTTGGGTTGAGGGTTTAGGATTTAGAGTTTAGGGTTTGGGGTTTGGGGTTTAGGGAGAAGGGTTTAGGGTTTATAGATATTGTATAGGGTTTGGGTCCCAATAGCGTTTTGAGCGAGCGAAACGTTTTGAGCGAAAGTTTTGAGCGAAAGTTTAGGGTTTAGGGTTTAGGGTTTAGGCCAAACTTCCCCACCCATCCTCCCCCCATTGAGAAACCCGCCTTGGAGGAGAAGATGTGCCGCTGCAGCCCCTTCAAGGCCCAGACCTGCACAAGATTCGGTTTACGGTTAGGGTTCAGGGTTCAGGGTTCAGGGTTCAGGGTTTAGGGTTGAGGGTTTAGGGTTTAGGGTTTAGGGTTTAGGGTCTCGGGTTTAGGGCTTAAGGGTTTTAGAGCTTGGGGCGTAGGGCTTGAGGGTTTCGGGTTTACGGGGCGTTTTGGGGTTTATCGGGTTTAGGGTTTAGGTTCAGGTTGGGGTTGATTTAGGGGCTTTGCAGCGGGGTTTAGGGGCTCAGTGGCTTTGAGGTTTAGAGAGCTTAGGAATGCAGAAGGTTTTTTGGGGGTGTTCCTAGAGCAGCTCCTGCCGGTGGGAGCAGCTGACAGGTCGCAGATTCGCCCGGTGTGGGGTTTTTCGGGGGGGCTTCGGGCTTTGGCGCCTGCATCTGGTAGTCCAGGAATGGCTGGAGGTAGCTAAACAAGGGTGAGGCGTTCTCGCGCATCCTGGGGCCATGGGGGGGCAGACTCAGGCTTGGGGATTTCGGAGACGGCGCCTGCAGAACGCAGTATAGATGCGAAACATAGGGAAATGAGACGGTCATTGGGCCCTGATGCGGGGGTGGTCAAGGATGAAAGACATCTCTGTTTCAACCCTGTGTGATTTGCATATATTTGCATGACTCTCCGATGTTCTGCAGAACCGGCACAGCATTCCTTGTCAGAAGACTGCAAAGCCCGGATAGGCTCGACGAGCGTTTCAGGATGCATGACTCAACATCGAACTCTCATGGCTTGGACCTCCCCCCCCCCCCCCCTCGCCTCAAAAACTCGCAAACCACAAGCCTTCAGAAACACCTTCAACACACCCTCAGCCCGCTTTGCGCCGCCCGGCCTAACCATCCAGTCCACCTTCTTCTGGATCGCGGCCGTGCGGCCACGCACCCGCGGACTCTCCACCTGCGAAGTAAACCCTAAACCCTAAACCCTAAACCCTGAACTCTAAACCGCAAAGAACACCTAGCCCCAAACACCGGTCAAGCTTTGGGCCTCCCAGAACAGCTCCAAAACCCGACAACCCCAAGCCAAACCCCAAGGGTGGAGCCCCTGAGTCCCGCCTCGCAGCTGACTCTCCAAAGCACCTGGCAGCTTGCTTTGTGGCTGGCGGACAGTGCACCGTGGCTTTGGGTGGTGTTTCTTGGCGGTTGGGCCGAAGTGGCGCTGAGTAGAGGGACGGGTGCACGGTCGCAGGAGCAGGACACGCAGACAGGAAGGAGGGGGCGAACAAGGAGATGTATATCAACGAGGCGTGTGAGAGGCCCCCTCCCCCTCCCTCAACACGTAGACCCTAACAACTCCGGCCTCGTTCGCGCAGCGCAGGGCCAGGAGCCCCCCTGCGGCATACTGCGTAGCTCGGAGGGCGGCGTGCTTTACCTGAGCCGGATTGGGGTTTAGGGGCCGGTGGTTCGGGCTTTTGGGGCTGTCGACCCACCCTGAGAGGGCTCCACGAAAACCTGGACCCCTTCAATTCCCAAGCTTCCCCACCTCATCCTGAAACCCAAATCCACCTCCTAAGCCTGTATCGACACCCAAACAAAACAATCCGGGACCCCAACACAAAAAGCCTCATTCCTTACGAAGAACCCTAAACCCCGAACCCTGAACCCTAAACCCTAAACCCTAAACCCTAAGAACCAGGGGGTCAAGAACCCTCAGAAGCCCCCCGGCTGCCGCCCGCGCACCGGTGCCCGGAGCAGCTCCAACTTCTCAGCGCTGCGGGCCGCGGCCCTGGAGGAATACATCTTAAGCTTTGGGGTTTAGGGTTTGGGGTTTAGGGTTTAGGGTTTAGGGTTTAGGGTTTAGGGTTTAGGGTCTAGGGTTTAGGGTTTAGGGTTTAGGGTTTAGGGTTTGGGGGCTCTGCTTAGAGGGAGTCAACCAGATTTTGGGGGCCGGGAGCCTAAAAAGCGACGCGAGGGAGTGTCAACGTCGGATAGCCCCACCGCGGCTTAGACGGAACAGTGCCGACCGCGAGAAGCTTGTGCTCCCACTAGCGCCAATTACTAGCAATTACTAATTACTAAGCAGTTGCTCAAAAAAGTCGGCCGTGGGTTTCTTGAGTCAGTTTTCGCGCCGACTGGCATAGGAAAGCCACACGGCGCCTCCAAGTTTGATCCCGTCAGGAACAGACATGAAGAGCAGTAGAACATTCGGAAGGAACATTCGGAATGTCCGCGTCAGCACCAAGACCCACGTCTCATGCTGAAGGTTGTTGTCGGCCCCGGCCTCAATTAGCATTCTTTGCTTTTTGGCCGTAGCTGCTTGCGGATGGTGTCAGCAGAGCAGCGTAGTGTTCGGGCCGGCGCCAGCGTTTAATTGCCCGGGCGCAAAATCCTCTAGTTGCGTCTGGCAGTCGCTGAGGTCGGGGAGTAAAACCGGCTGCAAGTTCATGCAAATCCAGGGCCGAAATCGCGAAATCTGATGCGAGGATGTGGGGAGGGGCCGTGCAGTGTGTGCGACTGCCACTTCAGATTTCTCACGTCGCTCAGCTCCTCTGGAGGAAATGTGGCACGCTAGTATGGGCCCTGAAAAGGGCCTCTTATATACCCTATAGAACCCTTGAAAGGAGGGAGGGACCATGTGAAGGGCCCAAATGAGCGACAAATCTAAGCCCTAAGCCCTTCAGTGCAACACTGCTCAGGCTCAGTTTGCCATTACATCACCCCTCTAAGCCCTAGCAAGAGCATGCTGAAGCCCAAACAACCTGAAACCCTAAACCCTAAACCCTAAACCCTAACCCCTAACCCCTAAACCCTAAACCCTAAACCCTAAACCCTACCTTTCAGACTTTTCGGGCCATGATCCGAGCTTCAAATTGAATCTTCGACCTTTCTCTGCAAGATCATACTACAATAAACTACCGCAACGCCCTTCTTAAATCGGCTCCAAGATCAGAAGGCCCCCAAGTTCAGGCTTTAATAGGTTCAAGGGATTAGGGTTTAGGGCCCAGGTGTAGGATCTAGGGTGTGAGGGTTTTCGGCTCTAGAGTTTTAGGGTTTTCGGGTTTTCGGGTTTTCGGGTTTCGGGTTTCACGAACTAAAGAGGTGCCTCCGTGCCAAAGCAATGCGGCGGAGGTGGCGCAGCCGGCGAATGCGGTCTTCCACTGCCAAGAGCCTGGGACGATGGATGTTCGGGATTCTGTTGGCGGGGGGTGGGGGGTTAGGGTTTAGGGTTTAGGGTTTAGGGTTTAGGGTTTAGGGTTTAGGGTTTAGGGTTTGGGGTTTAGGGCTCCGGGTTTACCGTTCAGGGGTCCGGGTTTTGTGCCGGGCTTTGAGGTATGAGGGTTGGGAGCTGCGGCTGTGGGGGGCACAGGACATTTCTGGATGCTATCACCCAAGTCCCGAAGCTTTCCGAAATCCCGCAAGCCCGAAACTTTGAGCCCACCAACTGAATTTCAAGCTCTGGCGAGATGAGTCCCTAAACCTTTAAACCCAAACTCTCAGCCCTGAAGCCTCTAAGCCCTCGACGCCTAAACCTTCAAACCCTCAACCCTAACGGCCTTAAACCCTTAAAACACGACTGATGACCGTCACAACCCGCAACAAAATTAGAACATGTAAGCAAGTAAGTAGATCAAGAAATAGTACTACTACAAAGAAAGTGAGTGAAAATGAAAAATAGATAAATACATCAATAAATAAATAAACAAATAAATAAATAAACAAATAAATAAATAAATAAATAAATAAATAAATAAACAAATGCACAAACAAACAAGTAAATGAATAAAAACGCCACGAAGGAGGGGGCCGAGCCGCTGTGGAAGCTCCTTGGGCGGCCTGAGAGGCGCTTCCTGGGCCTCGGGATGGTTCACCTGGGGAACGCAAGGGCTGCTTCGGGGGTTTTAGGGGATTAGGGTTTAGGGTTTAGGGTTTGGGGTTTAGGGTTTAGGGTTTAGGGTTTAGGGTTTAGGGTTTAGGGTTTAGGGTTTAGGGTTTAGGGTTTAGGGTTTAGGGTTTAGGGTTTAGGGTTTAGGGTTTAGGGTTTAGGGTTTAGGGCAAGCATCCCAGGGCTTGGGGCTTTTGGGGCAGCTGTTGCACCCGCCGAGTGGCTAAGTGGGAGCCATCCGGGCCCTGCTGCTCCAGCTCCTTGGGGGTCTTCAAAGGGCGTAGAGGGCTCTGTGGGGTTCTTAAGGGTGTATAGGGCTGGTAGGGTTTTTGAGGGTGTGTGGGGCCTGTAGGGTTTTCGACGATTTGTCGGGTTTTTCGGGTTTCTGGGCTTTGCAGGGTTGGGTGTTCTACGATGTGTCGGCTTTGTGGGGTTTCTGGGGTTTAGAGGGGTAGAGGCTGTACAGGGCATAGAGTTCAAGAACTTCACTCTGAACCCCAAACCAAGGGGTGCCCCATTGAAAATCCTAAGCCCCAAAGTTTGGGGGTTTCGTCCTTCGCCGTGCGGAGGAACTTGCGGGTCTGCGTCCTCGGCTGGCAACAGGGGGATACATCTCGTCACGCAGTGAGAAACAAATCTTGGGCTTAAGGTGTTAAGTTAAGGACGCAGATGTCAGAACAATGCCGTCTACGTTTTCTCAGGACATCGGATGAGCTGCTGCTCAAGGGATCATGAACCACCTGAGCAGAAAATACCTAAACCTTCAATTCCCTGGCCCCTCACCCTCAACTCTTGACCATCTACCCTTCAAGGCATCCCGGAGGGCCTGGGCCCTAAGTAACTCCCTCAAACGCCAGAAACCGCAAACCCTAAGCCCGAAACCCTCAACCCTGAATGTCCCTGAACCCCCCGAAACCGAAGTCCCAAACCCTAACCTCAGCCCCTCACGTTCCCTCCCTAGGATGCTGGAGTCGGATGTTGTGCATTAGGGTTTAAAGGGCTTATAGGCCCCTTTGAAGGAAAAAAAGGGTTAGGGTACAGAGGTTGAAAAGTTAGGGTCCAGGACTTGAGGTCAACACTAGCAGTATTCTGCAAACCTATCTTCCGCTCACAATGCTGAACTTCACGATAGAGATGCTTGAGCAAATTCTCAAAAATCTGGCCAAGCGTCAGCTGATTCAAGATTCGAATTAACCGCCGACGCTGGATGCGCTTCGCCCACAGCTCCGTCTCCAACGGCAACAGCCAAATGCGTTCTGGTGCCACACTCGAATTGGATGCGAGTTTCGCGGGCGCTGGCTGCACATTTACAGCAGCGGCTGTGTCCGCGCTTGCCCACAGCGACCTGCTGGCGCATTGAAGTCTCAACGAAAACATCAACGCTGCGTCTTCGCTGTAACATAGGGCCCGAAAGGCCTGGAGCCCTCCCAGTTTGAGCTACTCCATGAAAAGCCAAAAAAACGAACATGAACATTCAAGGGTTTAGGAGGTTTCCGGTACAGGGATTCGGGCTCAGGGTCTACGAGGCCAACAACGCAGTCCAGGAGGCCGCAGTGAGAGGCAGCACGCCAGGAACACTCCGATCGAGCGCCAGGGCCGACGCCGTTGGCGCTCCGGCGCCCCGGCACTGTCCATGGGGGGCAAAAAACGAAGAAAAGGCTGGGTTGCTGTTGAGGAACTCAAGCTTGTTTAGATACCATAACATGTGCATATCATCAAGAACTCTGCTTCTTTATGGAAGGTTCATGTTTCTGCCCTGAACAGCAACCCAGGAAAAGGAGATGGCGGGACCCTTATCATGTATGGGAAAGGGTCCTTTAGGGTGGCCACCTTAGCGCGGGCACGGTTCATTGCTGGGGAGCATGTGGGTCTTGGGTTATGCCGTCAGAAGTCAGCTCGCGCACTGCTCATGCGACCCATGGCCTGGTCAATGATGTTTGCCCAGTTTCACTGTGCTTGGCATGTTGGGATACAGCTGTCATGGAACAAAAGCTGCAGTACGAGAGAAGTGAGTCCTCGTTCAGGGGAAGGCATGAGGAATGAAACAGAGATCAGCAGAAGATGTCGCCCCAAGATTGCACATCGGGGATCCACTACCTGGAAAATCTGCAAGGTGCAAGTGCAACTCTTTTTCCAGGAAGGGCTTCAGTGATGCATTGCCATCCTCTGCAGCAAACCTGGCGGTCTCGCTTCAAGCCCACGCGCGATCGGAAAATGCTTACACACACTGAACGGATCTCTTCTGAGCGCCAGAGGACTGCACATGGTCGCAGGTTTCAATGCTTTCGTGAGATTTCTACAAGCAAACTTCAACGCAGCGCCTGCAGACAATGCTACCATGCCTTGGGTGTTTCTGTGTGGACTTCTGCAAGTTCGACCTGCACCCTATGGTCCCTCTGATGATGGTGGGTGGTGGTGGTGGTGGTGATGACGATGATGATGGTGAGAACGCGGAGGTTTGTGATGACATGTATATACGGCTAAACAGATATGTGGTCAGAATGAGGAGAAGGGGATAATAAGTGAATGAGGATGAGGATGAGGTGGCGGCGATAGTGGTGATGATCCTGATACATGGATGTAATGGTGATTAGGATGGGAGTACCCAAGACAAGTTGCTAAGTCAATCAACGCATTCACCGTTTTGCACGAGGCACATGTCCAACTGACTAGGCCGCTAAACATTCCTGTCCCAAAGAGCCGTGCGAAGGCCCATCTTCTGAAACTCTTCGAATAGCAGGGCCCTTGCCTCCTGCATCACCAACTTTGGCTCGATGTTGTCGTCTTTCATTTTCTGCTTGAACCTCCCACTTATCACATTCGTCAAATGTCTCTTGACGTTTTGAGCAGGTGGTGGCAGCTTGCTGAGAGGACTTCTGGATCTTGCAAGAACGTTTGGCACGCAGACTTCTGCGATCGACTGTATTGGCATCGGCTTCCTTATAAATTTCGGTTGAAGAAGCACGGTGTGACCAGCGTTACCTCAATCATGTTTCCGACTTCTTTGCACTCGAAGAAATGATTGCCTGCCTCAGGGGTGGATGATACTAGAACATGTGAAGGATCAACAAACGACCAGAGGATCAAATCAAAGTAGAAGAGGAGGGTCAACAACATATTAATGGTAAGGGGAGCGTATGCTAATTCTAGTATGTTTGGTCTCATCATGCAACTCAAGAAAAAGTAGTGAAGAACGCTGTAAGTTGCAGCATTACTGAGTGCTCACATGCTCCAAACGCTGTAAACTGCTGCATTTCTGACCGCTCACAGGTCCAAATGGTGCATCCGCGCCAATGTTGTGGCTCCAAATGCTGCCGAGTATTCTAGCGAACAGGCGCACAGCGCAGCATTTCTGAAAGGTTACAGGCCCGTCATAGGCCCGAAATGTGCTTGTAAAAGGAACGGGAGGGACGGCCGATGTTCGCTCTGTTGTGTACAGGCCTGAACTCATACACCCCCCCCCCCCCAAAGTGCAAACACAGACCTCGCATGATGGGTGTTGAAAACATGTGGTTTGGAGGGAATGTAGCATCTGACGGCGCGTAACGCTTTGAAGCAAACTTCCACTGCTCAAAACAAATGGGGGTTGTTGCGTGTTGTGGTGTGTTGTTGTGTGTTGTTGTGTGTTGTTGTGTGTTGGTGTGCGTTGGTGTGTGTCGTGGTGTGTTGTTGTGTGCTGTGGTGTGTTGTTGTGTGTTGTTCTGTGTTGTAGTGTGTTGTAGTGTGTTGTTGCGTGTTGTTGCGTGTTGTTGTGTGTTGTTGTGTGTTGTTGTGTGATGTTGTGTGGTGCTGTGTGGTGCTGTGTGTTGTTGCGTTGTTGCGTTGTTGTGGGTTGTTGTGCGTTGCTTGCGTTGTTGCATGGTGTCGCCTTGTGTTGGCTGGTGTTGTGTGCTGTTGTGTGCTGTTGTGTGTTGTTGTGTGATGTTGTGTGTTGTTATGTGAATGTGAATGTGAATGTGAATGTGAATGTGACTGTGACTGTGAATGTGAATGTGAATGTGAATGTGAATGTGAATGTGAATGTGAATGTGAATGTGAATGTGAATGTGAGTGTGACTGTGAATGAATGTGAATGTGACTGTGAATGTGACTGTGACTGTGAATGTGAATGTGAATGTGAATGTGAATGTGAATGTGAATGTGAATGTGAATGTGAATGTGAATGTGACTGTGAATTAATGTGAATGTGACTGTGAATGTGACTGTGACTGTGAATGTGAATGTGAATGTGAATGTGAATGTGAGTGTGAGTGTGAATGTGAACGTGAATGTGAATGTGTGTTGGGGGGGTTGCGGCACAGTGCGTGTGGCGTGAGAGAGCCCAATATTGCTAGTACAGATCGGGCCTCCAGGAGGAGGTACACATTCTCGGCGTCCCGGAACGTGGTCACCAGGGATACCACCTTGTAGATCCCAAAAGATGTTGGAGCTTTTCGACTCTCGCTCTCGCCCACGGCAAGCAAGGCTTCGAGTAGTTTTAAGGTTCAAGGTTTCTTCCGTCGCAGCTACGGACATGTTTTGTCGCACTCCTCCTGAATTCCACTTTCAAGTCTAAACTGACAGGCCGGAAAAAGATGATCAAACCAAAATGCAGCAGCAACAACAACACGATCAGTCCTGCAAACAATCCATCCCCTGATCTGCCTTCTGCCTGGTCAGGCCTTCCCAAGCCTTCCGAAAGGGCTAGTCACTTGACTCCATGCTCTGGATGTGTGAGGAAGGGTTTCAAAAAAAAAAAGAGCGCAGGTATTGAGGCGAAGGACCTGGCGCTTCTACGTCTGAGCGCGCGCACCCCCGTCCCAAAGGTCCCCGATCATATGGCCTACACCCACGACGGCAGGAGCTATTTCTGGCGGAGAAGTATCGGGTAAAGCCTGAAAATGGTCTCCAGGGGAGGCGCTTGCACGGACCTTCGTATGGTTTGGCGCCCCATAGAAACCAAGACAGAAGGGTTTTGACGTTCTGTCACCCACTAACGAGCTTGGTAGCGGCAGAACAAGTGAATCTTACCATGGTCACTAGCCACGCAATCTATGACTACCAGTTGCAACACCCACGACGAGAACCGGGCGAAGCTGGAAGATCGCAGCCGCCTCGGGACGTCAACCTCGCGCAGGAGGTAGGACCTCAAGCGTTGATCCCGAGCCACAGGAACTGAGATAAGTGACGGTGGCACAGTAGAGTGGAGAGAAAAGCAAGAACGATCGAACACCGCTACAGCAGACAGACCTAGTCCCACCCACTTTGCCTCCCGCTGCCTCCCCCCAAACACAGCAGTCCACCCACGACCCCAAGAAGGCTTCATGTGTTTTTGCAACCCTCTACGTGTACCAAGAACATGTTAAACACCATGTAAATGCGGCGGAAACGCTGCATCAGGGACATCTTGACCTTTAGAAGCCTGACACAACCTAGTTTCACGTACTGGGAGGCGTGTTACGGCACAACATGTGTGAAAAGGCACATCACCGCCTCGGCGCGCGGCCTTTTAACAGGAAAGGCACTCCATGTGGCAGAAGGCACAACACTGAACGACAAACCCCACGCGCACGTGCAGGTTCAAGACAAACGGTCGGCAATATGCAGCTTTGTGCCTGCCTGCGCGTGCCTGTGGGGGCTGGGCAGCGGAAACCCTGCCCCATGCATGTGGGCAGGGACTTGCTCGGTGTCGGGCATTTTGCGGCGGGATGGATTTGATTCGCGTTTGATGACCATCTTCCATGAAATGCGTCAGCAACATGCGCCCTTCATCGGCCACCACCGACAGCACAAGCCACCCTTCAAATCTGGCCTCTGCAAATCTAACCTGCACGCCGTATAAGCACAAGCAACGTCGCACCTTGGATTTGCCAAGCACAGCGTTTTCTTATAGTCACATCAATTTGGAGCCGTTTTGACGGGGTCACGTCACAGCATCCCTTTGTTTCCTAGCAGGAAAGGAGCTCAGGAGAATCAGCGACCGTTTTCGAAGCACCATGCAAACGCAGGGTAAGCACCGTCGATCTCTGGCATGTCTTGACAGCTTCTGAGGCTTGCATGCCCCGAGAGCACTCGAAGACCAAGCGACTCCACAGCATGCCATGAATGAGGAGAACCGATGCCCATTCTTGAAACACCATGTATACGCAAGGAAGACATCGACGTGTGTAGCCCTAGCACGTCCTTGCAGCTTCTCTGGTCAGCTATGGCCAGCGCAGTCGCCCACGATGGTCATTACAACGCGGCGGTTTCTGCTGAAATTTGCACTGTTTGACTGCGCGCATTGTCCCGAGCACACTCGAAGAGCACGCGCAAATGTTTCAGAACTGCTTCCCGTCAACGCTTGGCCGCCAAAGGAGCGATCGAGAACGCCAAGACGAAATCAGGGATGAGGGGAACCAGCGCCGACGCTCGAAACATCATGAACACGCAAGAAAAACCAGCAACGTTCTAGCATGACTGATATCTGCGACTTCTCTGTTTTTCTCAGTCCTCGCTATGGAATGAATCATCCAGAACCCGAAATAAACGCAAGCGGGGGCGACGTCGGGCGATGTTTAGTTCATTTTCCCCCCTGTGATTTCCAAACCATCCACGGCTTGAGGTTTCGGCTCCATCTGCAAATGCTCCACCTGGCCGATTGAAACGGCCTTTAGGGCGTAGCGCTCGCCAGTGGGGCAGTGCTCCTGCAATCGAGTACTGAATCTGGCAATTTCCAGCACCGGACAAACTGCCCGATATGCCTTGATTCGACTCGCCAAGGCTTGAAATATCGTCAGATACGCCACTAGATCTTCCCCACGTGCTTCAAAAAACCTCTGTCAGGCACCGAACTTAGACATGTTCCCGATAAGTCCTGCAGGGTCACGCTGCCGAACCCGCCGGTGCCAAGCAAGCCGAGTTCCCGCAGGTCAGCCCTGGACAGGAAAACAAATGGTCCCACCCTTTCCTCAACTCATCACTTGGCATGACGACGACCATGATGTCGCAAGATCTTCGGCCTCCTCGGCGGACCTGGCCTTGCAGCATGGCGCTTGGCAGCCGCCAGCTCCTTGATCACTGGCTCAACCCTCCGCTTCAAATAAGTTGGTTGTAGCTCTTGCAGGTATGATGAAAGAAGAACTTCAGTGTTTGTGGTGAATGCCACTCTTCTTACAAATTGCACTACCAACATACATACATACATACATACATACATACATACATACATACATACATGCTTACATGCTTACATACTTTCATACTTACATAATTACACACTTACATACTTACATACATACATACATACATAGATATATACATATATATATATATATATACATATGTCGCTCACCCTGTCTTATGATCGAGGTCACATCACGTTCATCTTTAAATCGAAGCCGAAATCTTCATCAAAAGGCACAAACTGAGAGATCTTCCCCTAAAATCGCAATACAGCTCCTACTTTAAAATCTAAATTCAGATGGCCTCTTCTGGGCCGATTCAATTCAGGTTTAAAATAGGCAAAATGAAGTATGATGATAAAGCCACACTATGAAACATGCGTCTGGGCTTCGTAAAGAAACCGATGAAGACAATATGTTAGGTCTTGCCCGGGCACACGACTGGTCAGCACGAACACAGCCATAAATTTAAGAACCCCCCATTTTAAGTTAGTAATGCTGATGCCTGTCGGCATACTACGCTCCGCCAGACTTTCCCGACCAAAAACCAAACAAAAAAACTCCTTGATACATTGAATAATTTAAATTGAATGTATCAAGCAGTACTATCCCGCCTTCGCTGTGCCAATTCAAGGTGTCTTGGTGTTCCATAATGCGATGTCCTTGTCTTCTTACTTAACCAAATTCTACAAGTCTCGCACCAGAATTTATTTTTGGCATCTTCCACTTCAGACTCCTCTCCTTCTTCCAATTTTAGATAGTGTTGGTGTCTTATCGTTTTCGTATGTCTCTGGTATTGGTCTTTGACTACATACATTTCGCATAAGTCGCACCAAGTTTTTTCTCTTTTCTTGTCCAATATGTCTTCTCGCTTCTTCTCGTAGTACCTTTGGCATTTCTCCCTCGCCTTTTCTGGGTTGTCCTGTTGGCTTTTTCTACAAGCATCCGAGCACAAAATACAAACTCTGCATCCCGCCTTGAATTCAACTTCCTCCTTCTCTTTCCTACATCTGCTACATCGTTTGACCGTTTCCATACTACATAATTAATACAATTATTCCTTTAAATGTTTTTCCAATGGGCGTGGTGGGGTTTATTGATTTTATAAGAAATTATTCAAAAAAGTATTTGCCTTCCCAACAGGCGTGCCTAGGTTGATAGAATTTATGGTAAATTTAGGGTTTCAGGGCTTGGAGGCAGTAGATCATACAACATAATTTTATTATGTTGTATCAATTACTGAGTTTAATCAAGGGGTTGTAGTGATTCAAGGTATTCTAGGTGTTCACGAGATAATGGCGGTGTCTTGTTTTGTCTAAGGCTTTCTTCTAGGTTCTTTTGATGTATTTGGCTTTTCTCATGTTGTGATTTCTTGTATTTCTTAATGTCGTAGTTACACACAGGACATGTAATAACAATATCCCTTACCTTTTCATTGTATCTCGCTTGTTGTTCCTTGTATTTGTCGGGGTTTTCTGCTCTGTCGGTTCGTTTTTGATGGTTTATTGTATCTTTCTTCTCTGCATAGTAGTTTTGCCATCGTTCCCTGTCGTGTTCCTTGTTTGCTTCATGGTGTAGTTTCCTTCTCTCGTTCCTCTCCTCTCTATTACTCATATGGTTTTGTCGTGCTCTCTCTCTACATACCGCACAAGTTTTGAACTGACTGGGTTCTTTGACTCTATTGCATTTCACACATTTCTGCATTTCAGTCTCCATACTCTAAATTATAAAGTCTTCTTGTCTTTAAATACTTTCTTCCTTGAATGGTTCAAAAATAAACATCCTTATCGGCATCATATACAACATTATAGTATTTCATTGTTTCTTCCTTGGGTTGCTTAATGTCTTTATTATTAAGTTTGCTTATATATGCACTCCTGCGATTATTATAATTAGCATCCATGATATTAGGTTTATTATCATTAGGCTTGATGTTTTCCTTATTGCCTTCCAACTTAACAACTCTTTCAACAAGACTGCTAACCAGCTCTTTTAGTTCCGCAACTTCTTCTTTCAACTTCTTGATTGGGCTTTTGAATTCTGACGAAGATTCACTCATATATACAAACTTAGATTAAAAGTTTTAAAAGTTTTAACGCGCATGTAAGACCTTCTGAATCTTCCTCCTCTCGCCTTCCTTTCTTAAGTCCTCTCTACAGTTCTTACAGTTTGACGAATAACTATTGTTGCTTACAATCACAAAGTTATTACTCGGATACTCCTTTTTGCACCTCTTGCATTCAATGAGATGTTCTTTGACCTCTTTAACTTCACCAAATACAACAACCATTATATAATTAGCTAACAAAATATATCATAACATAACGAAATGTTATGATGTATCCATTTTCCTTAAGATTTAACATAGCTCCAAACTAATTATTATCGTATGCTTATGACACGATAAATTAGATAAGAGTATCAGATACTTCCCTTTCTCAGTCCTCTCATCATGAAAGCACGTGGGCGCATGGGGGGTCCATTCGGCAATTGTTTATATGTTTATGTCTGGGTCGCTTCGTCAGAAGCCTCGCGAGACTTCGTGACTTATGGCACTATACACTGTCAAATATATAATGGGTTTTAATTTTTAAATACTTTAATCCATGTGCTCTAACTGACGATACTTCTTGAGTTCTTTTACTTCCGCTTCAAGTTTTTCAATTCGTTCTTCGGGGGTAGCCTTTCGTGATCCAAACCCTGTATCAATAGTATCAACACCCTCTTTATCGTTCATGTTCGTTTTAAAAATATCGTTCCCATCAGGTGTAGCGTTGCGATAACCGCTTCCTACTCTCCATGAAGTACGATTTTCGGTTTGTTTGATTATCGCTTTGCCTTCATCGTCCTTTGTTGTTTTTGTCTCCTTGTGCAGTGTCTTCTTATTACACCTACAAGGAAAGCAATCAACGTTGCCTTTGTCCAAATGGAAGCCTCCTTCCCTTTGTTCGTTGTCTGTCATTTAACTAGGTTAGATTATTTATTTTTGCGATTGTATTTAAAGTATTCAAGCATTATTTTGCAAACTTCCAAGAAGGAGTAACAACACCTGCGATATTTGGGAGGCGTTATTTTTTCTTGTATTTCTTCAATGTTCTCAATAACATCAATATAATCGCTGTAATTTATTTTATCCATATTATTATATTATATAATGATTACTCCTATAGTCAAACCCGTTAATGTTAAAGAATATGATTTTAAACAATCTAAGTATGAAATAGCTCCGAGACTACCGTTTAGTCAAATAATAACAGGTCCCTCGGGATCCGGTAAAGGTATATTATTACAGTCAATGATACTAGACATTTACAGGGATGTCTTTGAAAGAATTTATATTTGGTCTCCTTCAATTTCGGTTGATAGCAATTGGACACCAGTTAAAAAATACATTCAGGATAATTTGAAAGTTAACATAGAGAAGGAAAAGTGTCTATTTGACGAATACATACCAGAAGAATTGGAGGCTGTAATAAAAAGACAACATAAAGTAATAGAATATCAGAAAAAGAATGACCATAAGAAATTATTCTCAATACTGATAATAGTAGATGACTTTGCTGATTCAAAAGCGTTTTCAAGAAATTCTCCATTATTAAATCAGTTGTACGTGCGCGGGAGACACAACAGTATCAACATCATAACAAGCACACAGAAATTTAATGCACTTTCTCCAATTATTCGTGTCAATAGTCGCCAGTTGTTTTTCTTCAGGTTAAGGAACTACAAAGAGATTGAGACAATGGTTGAAGAATTAAGCGCGGTATTAATTAAGAAATCTACCGTAGCAGATACTAAAAACCTTGCAGAAGCGAAGAAGTTATTATTAGAAGTCTATAATCTAGCTACCGAAGAACCTTACAGTTTCCTGTTTATTAACTTAATGAAGCCCAATGTAAATGATATGTTTTATAAACGCTTTGATGCTAAATTAGTTATTGATTAACTGCTTAAAGGTTTAATCCGATATACTAAATAATGGAAACAGTATTAATTTCTGGTTTGGTTCTTTATGGATACACTTGCATTCTTGCTACGGCGGTTCATATTGGAAGAGGCGGATGTACAAGGGAAACATTAAAGGACACACTATGCACTTGTGTATTAATTCCTTTTTATCCTGTCATAATGCCTTGTTTCATTCCGTATTATTGTGAGAATAGGGTAGATAGAGAGATTAGAGAAGGAAGACGTAGCAACGATAATAGAAGTGGTTATGATGGTTTCCAACAAAGTACGAATAATGAAGTTGAAAATAATGAAGGTAATTAATAAATATAAATTATTTCAATAATTTATATCTATTAATCAAATTAATGAATACGAACATAAGTTTATTGCAGGTAGTTTATACACTAATTTATCGCTTTTCGTTTCTTCTAATTTTTCAACTCTTTCAATTACATCCTTCAAAGTATTGAATAATAATATGTCTGTTTTAGTTTTCTCTTCTATATCTAATTCTTTTATTTGTTTCATATTTTCACTGGCACAAGATTTAGAAGATTTAGCTCCCATTATATATTATTTTAGAATTTAATTCTTAGTTTTGGCTTTTGCTTTCGCCTTCGCTTTCGGGCTCTCCTCGCCTTTCAACTTCTTAACCTCCTTCTTTAAATCTTCAACTTCCTTAATCAAATGCTGTAATGCTCCGTGTGTTATTACTGCTGTTTTACAATAATCTAATCTTTTATGTCCTTTATTATCTGTTGTTATAATGCCTTCCCATTCTTGCGGAATTACACTCTCAACAT